TGCAAACTTTGAGTGCCCATTGATATTTATATGCATGTTTGTTTTGCAGTCTCGTGCCTTTCTTTTTTTATCAGTGCAGCAGCACCTTTTACCACCTTTTATTGTTTATGATCAACAAAGGCCTCCTGCTGCCTTCTTGACTGTCCATCACTAGTTTGCTGATCCATCTGGTCATGCACGGCTTCCATCAGGATGAATCTTTTGATTTGTAACTATTCTTTCATGAATCATGAGTTTTGCACTTGTGCTAGCAAAGCTGACAAACAAAAGAGATCCCCAAGTAGCATTGGAGATAAAGCTTTTGGCATCTACAGATTCTTTCATGAGTTGTGCACCTGTGCTGGCAAAACTGACTAGTAAAAGATACCCAAGGTGATTAAAGGCACCTTTTGGATCCTTTACTTTGCAAAGCAGAATAGTGTGATTAAAGACTCCATCTTTAGTGTGGATTAGTGGCATCTACGGAGCACTGTTTGGTGGCCAGCAAGCCTTCTTTTGGCTTTCGCAACGACATAGGCTATCTCCTTTCATGCAAAAGGAGGTCAGATCTTATTACATGAGAAGAGTCTCATGAACATGCTTATGTTCTCCCATCAGATGCAGGCATGCCACTATTATAGCATTTACCCTCTCCTGAAAACGGTAAACATTTCTAGTAGCGGTTAACAAGTAAATATGAATATGGTGCAAAAGGAGGTCAGATCTTGTTACATAAGAAGAGTCTCATGAACATGATCATGTTCTCCATCAGATCCAAGCATGCCAGTATTGTGGCCTTTCCTCACTATTGGAAAGAGTAAACTTTTGTGGTAGTGGATAACAGGAAATTTGAGATGAGAGGGAAATGCAAAAACTATAGTACTCCCTCCATTCCAAAATACTTGAAGTTCTAGTTTTGTCCTAAGGCAAACCTCTTTAAATTTGATCAATTTTTAATAGCTACTCTCTCCGTTCTATAAAAAACAACGGCAAGAATTATGGAACGGAGAGAGTACAACATCAAATACATATATCATGGAGAAACATGTTATGATGAATCTCATGAAGCTAATTTGGTATTGTAGATATTGGCATGTTTTTCTACAAACTCGGTCAAACTTTAAAAAGTAGACTTATAACAAACCTAGAACTTCAAGCATTTTGGAACGGAGGTAGTAACTTGGAAGAGACAAATGAGGGCCATTAGCAGTAATTAGGAGAAAAGAAAAAGATACAGAAATAGCAAGTCGATGAATTCGAACCCCCTGATTTTGGTGCACCCAGTAAAGAAGGAAACAGCGTGGGACAAACATGCTTTGTTGCTTTTCAGTTTTATCCGCACTCCATGATAAATTGAGCATGAGCATGTTACTTCACTCACTCCTGCTTTCCTTTCCTCCAAAATCCAAATGGTCCAAACAGAAAAGATCCATCATCTCGTTGGTCCAAACAGTCTCATCTTTCATGTGCTATATGATTTTTACCAACCATCATTACCTGGTACCACATATTTATTTACCTTTTAGCCAAAAAAAAATCAACCTTTTCGCCTTGCTGTGCATATTCCCAGTGTAGTGGCCAGTTTTTTTCTTCAGTGTAATGACCAGTATTTTTTCCAGTGCAATGGTAAGTGTATCTATATGAGTAGGGCGTTTTGGTGACCGAGCTTCATGGAGGCTGAAATTTTAAAAAAATCAAATTCAAACTTTTCAGTTTCAAAAAATTCTAGAAAAAACTTTATATGTACGTAAGGATGTAATGTATATGTGTGTAAAATTTCATGATGAAATACTTTGAATCTCGACCTGTACAAAAAGACAAAATCATGGACTTTGAGCAATGAACAGTACATGTGTTCAACAGCCATAGTTTTTTTTTGCACAACTCCCATTTCAACGTATTTCGTCATGAAATTTTACACACATGTACATTATACCTCTAGGTATAATGTGTATTATTTTTCAGATTTTGTTGAAACATAAAAGTTCGAATTTTAAATTTTTCAAAAATCGGCCTTCATGGAGCCTGTCCACCATTCAGAATTTTCATATCTATATATCTTTTATAGACAAACCCCACCTGCAAGTCATTAAATAGCTATTTTTTTCGCGCATGCGTGTTTCCACATCGTCAAAATTAGCATCCCTCCGATTTAGGCTTGAGAATCTCTCTATCATGCAACATGCATTAGTGCATTTTAAGTGGGTTGTAATCATATTGCATTTAGTTTTAACATGCAAACTTTTCATGTCAAGTTTTTTTTGCTTATGCAACAATTCCCAGCATAGTCTAAATCATAAGAATGGAATTTGTATTCTAGACAATTTAGAAAACAGATTTCCAGTTTGCGGCTACACACGGGGTGTCGTCTAGCTTTATACCATTCGGTGCAATGGACAATTAATTGATAGGCCTTTTTTTGCGGGGTGCTTTGTTTTTCATACAACAAGGGTTAGGGCACCAATAAAGTGAAATGGGTCCTAGGCTACATCGAGCCCCTCACTCCAAATTCTCCAGAGGACAAACATTTCCAGAAAGGCAAACATGATAAGGGAGGATTGCTGTCTATGCATAGGCCTATTGTTAATGGCACCTGACCACCATTGAGTGAAAGATTGAGCCCCTTCCAATGAGCTTGGACGGTAGCCATTGATTTGAATGCAACTCCATATTCTAAAGAGTGCGCCGACATGTGTATAGAGCGGGTGCTAGCTTCCTCTGCTTAGGTCATCTATGTTAGTCAAGATGATCCATATTCACAATCAATTGATTTCCGCAAAAGTCAAGTTTTACAAAAATTGTTCCACTTTATAGAGAAAACTAACTATATGTACAATACCAAATATATATCATAGGAAAATATATTTCATCATGAAACTAGTGGTATTTGATTTGGTATTCTAGATGTTGATAACCTTTTCTCTAAACAAAGTCTGAATTTTAAAAAAAATGCAATATGCACTATATTTTAGGATAGAGGAAGTATTTTGGAAATTCCCAAGGTTTCCAAACCACAGTTTTCTTGTACGACACATTTAGTTACCCATGCAATTCTTCTTCTTGAATATTTCGAAACTATTTGGCACTATAAGGGGCGGTGCTAGGCCCCAAGCTGGGGTATGGTGGAGAGATCCTTCGTTGATTGTAGCACAAATGGCTATGTAGCATACTGTAGCTAGTTTAGCTATACGGGCTTGCCTATGACGTGCGTTAATCCTGGCTCCGCTACTGGCACTATATCTCTTGGTCTTATGCCTTCAAGCCATGACGAGTTACAGAAATTTAATTTTTCACCACCACAACGGCCACCGTTGTAGGCCAACCTCGTTATATATAATACTCATGCCATTTAAAATAGGAAGACATTTTTTGTATCTATAAATACAATGTTCTAACCAACAAATGCTTTATCAATATACCGGTTACATGACATGAAACGGATATCATTAGATTTGTTCTCAAAGTGAGTTCTTACGATTATGATTATATATCATGTAAGCACTTATTAATGATGTAAACGTTAGACAAAGACTTGTCTTAACATCCTATATTTTGAAAATAGGAGGTATATAGATAAATATATCTTGCTAACATTGCAGGGTCTAAATACTACTCCCCCTGTTCACAATTATAAGATGTTTTGGATACATACAGACTGAAATGAGTGAACAAACACATTAAGACATGTCTATATACATCTGATTCACAAAAAAGTTATTCCTTCCAATCCGTATTACTAATTGATATAATTTTAGGTGAAATTTCTAGGAACTTTAGATATCTAACTATTATGAAAACTGAAAAAAAGTGATCCTCAATGAAGTACTTGACTTCCCAAATACTCCCTCCGTAAACTAATATAAGAGCGTTTAGAATACTAATTAGTGATCTAAACGCTCTTATATTAGTTTACAGAGGGAGTAAACATAATCAAGTACTAGAATTCAACAGATGTCATCAACTTCAGTTTTGCACCATCGTCAAGTTCACATTTGCAATCGATCGAAGCTCACTCTTTATAATACTCCATTTGTATCTGTAGAGCATATTTTGTTTCAATAAGACAATATTTTGATCAGTAGTTGCTTTGTCAATATGTTGTTCATGTGACATGCAATTGATGTCACTAGATTTGTTTCCAAAAGTATTTATTATGACTTTGATTTCGTACTATGCAAGCCACTTATTAACGGGGTAAATATTGGTTAAAGACTTGATTTGATGGGACAAAATATTGGGCACTATATTTTGAAACATAGGCAATATGCAGATAGATACAAGTTTTTTTACTCAAATTGTGTTTATAGTATTAGATTAGTAGAATGTTGGGTATGACCAGGTATAGGGTACTCTGGACAAAGGGAACATAATACCTACGACTATATGACACACAATTCTTGCCGAACATGCATCTGAACTTGTACAACGTTGAGAAATCCAACCACCAGAGTATCCGCAAAAACTTATAGATAAACAAATCTCGTTGAATCGCCACCGTGCCAAGCATATCGGCGGAGGTATCACCCCAATTTAGGCATACATCTGCACTAGTATCATTGGACCAAGCCGATAGTTTTGTCTGAGAAGACGATAGATACTTGTTGGTAACATTGCACACAATAAAATACTGTGAATTGAACTAAGTAGGTGAATGGGTTTTAGAAAAAGTTCAAAGATCTAATTATTATGAAAAGTAAAATAAATAAACAGGTAGTCCTGCTCCATATATATTGTTATTTTTACCTTTTTGAACTATTTTAGTCCCCAAATAAACATGATCAAGTACCAGAATTCAAGAAATATCTCATCAATATTATTAGTAGTAGTTAACTGAGTACACTGCACTTAGTATATAGTAGCAAAAACGTAAGGAGACTTAGCACGTGTCATTACACGTACGCTACACTAGTTACAACTATACGTACTTGTGGTTACATCCTTAATTAATTTACGGGATAGCTTGTGCGCAGTAGGCATCGGTCATAGTACTTATATTGGTTCGTAGCAGCTTTCTTCAGCCTTCAGCTGGTGGCGCTGAGGAGGGAGATGATGTCGAGCGAGACGGAGCAGAGCTGCTTGAGCGCCTCCTCCCTGGCGGCGAGGTCGGCCGGGTACGCCCCGGGCCTCTGGCGCCGGAACAGCGCCTTGCACACCTGCGGGTACTCGGCGGCGGCGCCGACGTAGACGGCGGCGTAGTCGTAGTCCTGCTGCGCGATGGAGCCCCTCGCGGCGGCCAGCGCGTCCCGCGCCTCGCCGTACTTGGCGGAGCAGGTCCGGAGCAGCGCCTGCACGGTGCCGTCGACGGCGGCGCCGCCCTGCGCGGTCACGTTGGCGCCGAGCGCGGCCGCGGAGGCGGACGCGTTGGAGGCGGCCGCGGAGACGGCGATGGCCGAGAGGCCGCGCACGTCGGCGGTGGTGCTGGAGGGGTCCGCGGCGAGCGCGGCCACGCAGAGGTCGTAGTAGGCGGTGGAGTTGCAGGTGGTGCGGACCAGCGCCGCGGCCATCGGGGCGGCGGGCGCGGGCGGCGGTGACGGCGGCGGGGAGTGCTTGGCGTGGCCGCCGTGGCCGTGGTGCGAGGTTGGGCCGGAGCGGGAGCCGAGGGCGCTGGGCGCTAGGAGGGAGGCGATGAGGAGCACCAGGGTGGCGGTGGTGATGGCCATTGTTGGCGCCATTTTTCCTTTTCTTGCAGTGAGATGTTCGTGGCTCTGTGGAAGAGGAGGAGCTGCTTCTTGTTGTGTGTGACTGCCTTTGGAGAGGGAAGAGCTGTGTGCTGTGTTGGTGGGAGAGAAGGCAAGGGGGTGATGGGGTTTTATAGGAGGAGGAGGTGGGATTACCTGGCTAGTCTAGTCCATCCTTATGGCTGCCAAAATTGACTCCTAATCAGCCTAATTATGTTTTGTTGGGGGTCATCAAGTGGAGCAGTCCACCATGCCATATACTTCCTCTCTTCTTCTGCTCTTCACCTCCATTTTTCTGTTACGACTCTCGGTCAGAGTGCTGCTGCATTTCATAAAAAATAAAGACCGGCTTGTGGAAAAAATATACTCCTTCCACCTGTGCGTCTAGATACATCCATTTCAGTGTCAGGTAATTCCGGACGGAGGTAGTAGTATCACTAGATGGCATGCTTTGATCACTTTTTTGTTATTGCACATGACCGTCGGCAGTGGTGGAGCTAGTGACGGGTTACGCCTCGGACTGACATAGCTTGAGCGATAAACTCTCATGATTTCCAGTACTTTGTAAGATGAAATTGCAATAATAGGCCTATCTTCGCCACTGACCGCCAGCAGAATGTTTGTCATGTACAAATATAATTAGTAGTGTATAACAAAATTGAAACACCTCCTAATTACGGGAACATAAACAAAGGCAGAGTTGAGACTTTCAATGCCAAGATGATCACTATCCTCGGCACGTGCATGGGGTTCACTTGCATGTGCCGAGGACAACATTCACTTACACGAGTGTAGGCTACCTCAATATTGTGGCTACTTCGCTGTCCCTCGTCTTTGTTTTGACCGACGTCAGGGGTCGAGTCAACCTCCCCTAGGTGTATGTTGTCTGGAGAAGATAATAAACAGTAAAATACCTAAAACTTAGATGGTTACCGCAAAACTTGCTCTCGAATTTAGATTTATATTTTCTAAATTTTGTAGCTTGGCGGTGAAACTATATATCCTCTTACCAAGCATCGATCCCAAATAGCCGATACTTCTGCCCAATTCATATCTATATACGGAGCGGGTTCAATCGTCATGACATCAATGGTCTAGATCCTAGGAAGAGAAGTCACTAGGACCCAAAAATCCTTGGACTCGTATTTGTTTTTCATCTCCTTTTTGTAACTCCCAAGTTTACCGAGGTTTTCCTAATATGTAACTAGAAAATGTAATTGTGAAATGAATACTTTAAAGATTGTGTTATGTGAAGACAGAAAAAGAAAAGAAAAAGAAATACTAAATGTTTGGAAGTGTGCAAATAACTTGGGTGGGTGGTATAGCTTAGGCAAAATCTAGCTAGACCGGATGCTCCACTATAAATATCAAGTGGAAAAAGATCCTTGTTGTGGATGGCTATGTAATTCCTTGGAGTGGGACACTATGAGTACGCTACTAATATATATGGACACATGTTGTTTCCTCTTATATTGCAGTGCACTAACAACCCAATCGATGATATTGGCTTGTTTTGGAAGTAAAAATGGGTTATTTAAGTTGGTCTCGACAAGTAGCAACTGATGACATTGTGCACTACTACTAAAAAAAAGTACTCTTGCCGTTGGCATTTTACTTATTTAATTTCGCTGCTGTAGGACTGTACATGTTTCTCGTGCGTGTATATGCGACCTAGCTTGTTGATAACAACGATAGTGTCAGTGCTCACTCCACGACAAACATACTTAATTCCTTTTTCAGAGGAATTTTTTTGTCAGGCACCGGACATTTCAATTTTAACCGTGTGCTACAAAAAATATCCGGTTCCAGAAAATTAGTAATTAAATAAAAATCAAGAAAATCTGAAAATATTGTTGAAATAAACTGGACCATTCATTGAACTCGTAAAAGAAGTTCCACAAAAGAAAAGAAAAAACGTTGATTTCAGGGCAAAGAAAGGCAACAAAAAGTGTCAACAGTACCAATAGATTTGATTTTTTCCTTGAAGTCAACAGTGATTTTTATTAGCAAAACATTACATACTATTGCAAAAGAAAGTCAAGTTATTAAAAAAAACTTCTGAACTTTTTTGACTTCTTTCAGTTGTTAACTTTGTCCTATATCGGGTGTACATACACCCAGGAACCAAATAACATTTCGCATGTAAAGGCATCTTCAACAGGGACCCTTAAACCACCTACATCCATTCGGACCGCGCGGTTCGGACATGTTTTGCCATCCAACGCGGCCCTATATCCGTTCACGGGTCGGTCCGG